CCTTGGCCGCCGCTCCCGGCCCGGGCCCGCTGAGCTCCCCAGCGCGCGAGCCGCCGCAGCCCGAGGGGGAGCGGCAGCTGCGGATCAGCGAGAGCGGTCAGTTCAGCGACGGGCTGGAGGATCGAGGTGAGCGCGCGCCGCCCCGAGCCCCTTCTCCCGGCCCGGCCCCTGCCCCTGGACCGGCGGGCGCGATGAGGAGCCGCTGCCCCGGGCCCGCCTCTCCCCACTCGCGGGTTGGGCCGGGCGCGGGACTCGGCGCCTCAGAGCGCGCGGGGGCGCGGAGCCGGGACTTCCCCGCCAAGGCGCGGAGGGCGGCGGCCCCACCTCCCGCGGCCGGTGCTGCCTTGACAGCCGCTCCTTCCCCGGAACCCGGGAACCCGAGAACCCGGCTGCCTCCTGGCCGACCCCGCGTGGGCCCGCGCCCACCTCTCCGCCAGCCTCAGCTCCTCCGGCGCCCAGTGGAAAAGTTTGCGGGAGGCGTTTTTTTGCTTTTGGAGCCGAGCACTCCCGGGGGACTGCGGGCCCTGCTCAGCTCGGAGGGACCCGAGCTCGGTGCATCCTCCTTCCTGAGCCCCCTCCGACCCCCGCTGGCTCCCCGGGAGAACTTCCCACTGCAGATTTAGCTTCGAGGAGTTAGTCGGCGGCCGCCAGTCTGCCCGCCCCGGCGAAGGGGAGTCAGGAGGCCCCCGACTCTCACACGGGACCAGTTTACCGTGGGTCACTGCCCCGCTGTCTGATGATGGGGGCAGAGGACTGGGACGCTCAGGTTTGGGCCACTAACCTCATCTGGATGGATGCCACTGAAACCTGGTGGTTCCCGGAGCGCGCGTCCCCAGCCCCTTCAGACTCCCTCTCAAGAGACTGACCTGGAACCCCGCAAACGTCCCTTTCCTGGGAGGTCCCTTTCCTGGGAGGCCAAACCCTATCTTCCGACCGTCAGCCAACGTCCCTTTGAGTTGCCCGCATGAAACGGCAGAGACTCCCCAGTTCATTCCTGTCTCTCTCCTCCTCCTACATCCCTCTCTCCCTCCCTCTCTCGTTTCCTTTCGACTGGGAGGGAGCCTTATTCTTGGCCACGTCTATACCTTTTCTGCTTCTTGCTGAATCCAAATCGGCCCACTCAAAAAGACTCAATGGTTCTGCTAAAACCGGCTAGTGGCCGAAGCGGGATTCTTGCAGCCAGCCCTTCAGGAGGTGCCGGCTCATCGCCACCTCCACCCCCATTTCTTGGAAGCCTTATTTTGTTGGCTGTGTTGGATTTTTATATTTTAGTCTGAGCAGGTTTCTGTCCTATTCTTAGTATCTCCTGTACATTTTTATTCCGGTTTAGTGTTCGGATGCACGATCTCTTTCCTCTCAGAAATTTTAAACTGTAGCGTGTGAATTAGAATGACATGGAAACGGCAGTTCTCAAGAGCAGGCAGTTCTCAGAGAATCGGCAGGGATGCTCGGCGAGATCTGGAGCCATTCCAGTTGCAACGACTTCTGCACCTATGTTGCAGTTTCTCCTCCTATTCTCACATAACTAGATATCATTTTAGAGCTACTGATTGCTGACGTCACAAGCGCCCAGCAAAACCTATCAGTTTTATTAAAGGTCATGTTAATTACCTTTCCCCCTGCAACTGATATTGTAGAATTTAAATATTTCATATTGAAGAAACAGAACTCTGAGCCGAGCTTATTTTTGTAGCATTGCAGGTCATCTGTAAAAGCTGGCCTATTTCTCCCCACCCCACAAGATGATAGGAGGGAAAAAAGTGCTAGGGTGAGTTAATATTTAGCATCATTTTGTAGCTCCTGCTCAAGTATGAAAAGCCCTTCTGAATTCATTCTTAAGGTTATTTTTCACTGGTCAACTGGATTTCATTTTCCATTATATTATAGCGTGAAAGCATTCACTGTTCATAAACTGTCACTGTGTGAAAGCATTGCATACCGCACACAGCCTCTCTGTTAGGAGGAACCCTGTCCCCCAAAGAACCAGTGCTGTGTGGCATTGAAAGCTGCAAGTCAGTGTGACATTCTTTTGTTTGACCTATTCCCGACAGCAAAGAGTTAGTGATGAATGAGTCATTTTTATTAAATCAGAGGGTTACCTGGGGAGATTTATTATAATTTTTTGTGTTTGTTTTTTTTTTTCTCACGGGGCTGCATCTTTCCAATATCGATTTTTGTATCCCTTGGGAACAGTTGCATTGCTGCTACCTTTTTCCTAATGGTGAGAGGTTTTGGGGAGGAGGAAACCTCAGCAGTTGCCCGCTGTGCATCTCGCCATCCTGCCTGGCTTGCTTGCTTCCAGGCCTAAATACCTACAGGAGATGTGGAGGGGTGGGTACCCTGGATGTGTACCTGTATTTGGCTTTCTCTCTTGTCCTGACTTCCTTCTGAGCTAGCAGGAGCTTGTTACAGACAAGATCAGTGATCAGAGGCTGGCTTTATAATCTAGAGTTTGGGGACTTGAGAGGTATTTTCCCCTTAGAAGTGTTGTGGGCGGGTTCCCAGAAACCAGCTAGCTCATAATGTCTGGAACTGCAATGCCATTTGGGTGACCCTTGTAGTTCAGGGAGCAAACCTTAAGGGACTAAACATACAAAAAACAGGCCAAGTTTGTCTTAGGCTTTTCCACCCCCTCCCTTTTAATACCCCCTCTTCTCTCCACACGTTTTCCCATCATTCTGCCCCAAGCCTTAGGGGCCAGCCTCCTTAGAGTGTTACATGCTTGAGCGTTTCCTACTACCTTCACGTCTAATGAGTATTCCCCTTTCTTCAGAGAATGCAAGCATGAGTAACTCTTAGGAGAAAGCAATTGGAACTAATTTGTACTAGCATGGAAATGACTGATGACTTCAACCTCCCCACATATATTTGCATTCCTCCCTTACCCCCACATAATATGGTATCAGTCCAGGCCCAAATTACAAATGTGTGAAATTTGAACGAGATTGGAAATTTGAATGTGGAGGCCAACTATGGGTAGGAAGGACACAGCCCAGCATGCAAATTTGAGCCCTGCTTTAGCTTCTCTAGGCTGTGCTGTCTTTCTTCTACCTTTGAAGCACGGCTTCCTGACAACATTAGGATTTCTCACCATATCTCCATGGTTTGTGAGTGTGCGTGCAGCCAACACCGGGGCAGAAGTAGAGGCACCTGACTGCGGACCATTCATTTATGAGCTGGGTCTGTGTAGGTCATCATATTACACTTCCCTTTGAGGAGTGGCAAGTTTTCCATTCTTGGTATCAGCTATATTTTCAGATAGGAAAATAAACAAAGGTGGGATAGAAATGGGAAAGTTTCTCCCTTCTTGGACAGTCCTCCATTGCATTTACTCCAATTTTTTATTTAAAATATCTCATGGGCGAGGCACACACAGGATTAGATCTGGGGGAGAGCCACCAGTCCTACGGGTGAGAGGCCCTAAGTGCCACCTTGGCAGGGCAGTGCAGACCACGTGGGCTGTCATCCCAAACTCCTCCATGGGAGTGCTGGCCCACTGTGGGGCGAGGTGTGTAGACCAGTCTGTGTGGTCCAGTCGTATTGTTGGAAACAGCTAGCTTTGAAAGGAAAAATGTCATATGGCAGAATAGAAAACCCAGATTATTGCATTTGTCTTAGAGAATTAAATCTATTTCTAAAAGGAACCTTGTTTTTTATCCCCAGTGGATAAACCACTCGAGATTGTTGCTGTCAAAATACTCAGCAAGTGAACTAACTGCTTGAGTCAGTACTTAAATGTTACAGCTTCACTTCTGAAAATCAATGGGCCAGAGTGAAAGGAAGATTTTTATTTGGGAAAAGAGAAATAAATTATTGAGAGTGTGTGGGACCTGCTCATTTTAGGTTGTGGCTTTAACTGGAGACAAGGATGATTGTAGTTGAAAATTAGAATGGGGTATTTTTTGGCAGCCAGGGAAGAAGTAATCAAAGGGACAAAAAAGAGGTAGACAAAGGAATTTTAACTTGAAATCACTTGTACCTAGGGCAGAATTTGACAAGACAGAGGTGTTTCTTGTTTCCATCCCAGTATATTTATCAAGGAAGGCTTGGGGAGGTTTTTACAGTGAAGTGATGAAGATGGTGTTTAGACCTATCTTTAGCAATCTCATCTTCCTTTTGATCCTATGTAAATCCACATGTTTTGATTATTTAAAAATTTCTGGGCTATCAACTGGGCTCACTAAGCAACCTTCGCAATATTTGCTTTTGCTTTGTTCAGGATTTGTTAGGGTGCTTGAGTCTGGATAGTAAATGGAACTGAGAAGTTTTAACAGGGTCCTTGTTATAATTTTGAAAAGGATGCAGTTTTCGGCAACCAGAGGCTTTAGCGTGGTGTCCAGTCGGTCTAATGGGATGGTGCCTCTTACATGATGCAGAAGTGTGATACGTCGCACGCTGTACAATATTTTACAAATGGATGCCTAAGCTTTGACTACCAATTTCTTCATCATTTGGAGCTGTTGTGATGAGGCTGCTCCACCTCTGAAAGGCAGATTGTGGGTTGTTTAGCTAGAGATGGTGTCATAAGTTCTTGTTTATGTAGAATGCAGGACTGAGAATTTGATTCTCCCTGAAACAAAGAGATGCCATATATGATCTATTTTCAAAGGAGAAGAAAACATGTAAATCAGGATCATACTGAAGATGTTTTAGTCTTCGACCTAAGGCAGTTGAAGCTTGGGCGTTGCCTGGGAGTCGTCATGAATTCCTGTTGTTGTCAAGGGCTCTCCATGTTGAAAGCACAGGAGACAAAAATCAAACCTTTCTTACACATGGCCTGTCTGGGAAGCTGCCTCCAGCTTTAGCACGTTTACCCCACTTGAATGTTCTGAGAATTTTTTGACATGTGCTTGGTACAAAGGGATAGATACTATACAGCAGAAAGGAGAGAGAAGAAAACATGGCATATAATTTAGGTCTGGGGCTGTTATGGTTTGTCATTAAAGAGAAGTGGTCCTTCTTCTCCTCTTAATCGTGGAGGGAACAATGAGGGCATTTGTATTCCACCATGACTCATTGCTTTGGGCAAAACTCCACCAGTTGGGGCCATGCTGGTGGATCAATGCAAATCAATGCCCACAGCTGAAGAGTCCAAATGCCTAACTAAATGTGGGCTATTCACGCTATTTTCCTATCGAAAGGGCCTTGTTAGGAGCAGCAGCACCTACTTGAGCCAAGCAAGTTAGCAGGGCAGGGGGACGGCTGGGGTCACACTTCAGGTCAGGGAGTGGTGGGGTCTGCAGGATTCTTATAAAGAAGACAGCTGCTGTTACCCTACGGGAACACGTGCCAGATATTGCCAGAGCCTATGATCTTTCAAGAGACGCCAGAAAGCCTGATTTCCTTGTGAACTCTCCTAATTGTTAAAACATATCTTGGCCCGTAGGCTGTCAGTTTGCAATCCTTGGATAAGCAAGTACAGCTCTGGCTGTGGGTTTCTTAATAAGGAAATGTCTAACTTCCTTTTCTCCTTGTTTTTGTCAGGCTTATTAGAAAGCAGCACTCGACTAAAACCTCACGAAGCCCAGAACTACAGAAAGAAGGCGTTGTGGGTCTCCTGGTTCTCCATTATTGTCACACTGGCCCTGGCAGTGGCTGCCTTTAGTGAGTATCCGGGGTCTTGCCAATCAATAGGTGCTAGTGTTGCCTGTTTTATTCTCTGACTCCTGTGGGATGTGCTTTTGCTTTTAGTTGACTATTATTGATGAGTAAATTTTCTTAGATGGGTGGATAGTCAGGGTACTTATAAATTAGTAAAATGGCTTCTCTCCTCTGCAGAGAGAAGAGATGGTTAAAAAGAAATGGAGAGCAGTACTGAGAGCCTTGGCTCTCATCAGTGTGTGGGTTTCTGGAAGTAGATTTTGGCTGCCAGCTGAATAGTGACAATATTCTCTTGGTGGATGCCTTCAGCTTGGGCTGACACGTGACAAAACGTATATCCTTAAGATTCATATTTTGAGCCTAATGCAAGCAGATGAGTGCAATATTCAGTACATCCTGTCCGTTTCCCCAATTATATCTGTGTAAGGTTTGGAATAAAATCACGTGCATGTATTTTTATGAAAGAAAAACAGGAGGATCCTCTCAAGTTTTCAGTGGCCACGGAAACAAAAGCATTTATTATGATCAAGAAAGACTAAGACAATCGAACACTTTCTGCCTCTGGATAATCCTGTGTGGGGGTTAGGAAGCCCTATGACATGGGTTTTCTCAGCTAACATTTGCAGCCTATAGAAATGTGCATGTGCTATTTATTCTTATTAATCATCAATGGTTTACAAGCTTAAGCGATGACGTTCAGCTTCAGCTCAACTTTGGTAGAAACCACGGTGTTTTTTTTATGCTGAGGAAAAGAGGAGTGTGTTTTGTGCATTTTGTTACTAATTTATTACCTTAACAGCAAGATGTATATTCTAAGTGATAAGTATCATACAACGTGTCTCATGTGACAACCCTCAGAGTGGGAGAAAAAAGGACTGTGTCCACTAGAAGATAGGCTTTGTGTGTGTTTAAAATTCTATTCTGCACAGTTAGATCTGCTGCTGGAAGTTGGTGTTGGCTCCCAAGAGGGCATATTAGAATTTGACCAAATGCTTCCTGCAAAACTAGGCATATATTACTTGAAGCAATTTATATTGGAAACACTGTACCATATCTTGGCTCTAAAAAAAGGCCCAACATTTAGAAGCAGAGGGTAATGCATTTCAGGGTATAAATATTTACCAGTAAGCCAGAAATCTAATCAAGAGGAATTCTGATTCCTGAAAATAGCTATTCCTTCCTCTCTCTTCCTTTTTTTATGCTGAAAAAAGAATAACAAGCCAAATTGATGTCCCTGGAGGATAATTTGGTTGTGGTGGCTGGTGGTGGGCTCTGGATCAGATACCATAATTTACATATGTAAAGAAAGAGGAATGGAATGAAGGGGGGTGATTTACAAACAGAATAATAGTTACTCGGATGTGTCCTCCTGCCTAATGGAGTTGTTACGACTTTATTGTGTTGGGTGTTTGAGTGAGGACATGAATGTGAAGCAATATTGAACAAGCCTTTCCTTTGGGAGAATAATACTACATTTGATGTGCTTAATCTCATGGTAGGGGAAAATTGTAAGGAAATTTTGGTTTCACATGTTATGCCTGATCAGTTGGGTTATCTTGAAAATTTTGTTCCTTTTCCTTTAATAGGAAAAGACTGTTGCATGATGCATACAGAATTAGAATATTGCTTTGTGAAAAGGGTCTTCTTTTTTTTAAAAATGATTTTACTTCATTACTCTAGCAAGTATTTAATTTAAATCCTCTAACTTCTTGCCTATAAAATGTTGGCATTGGCATATAGTATCATGATCTGTGTTATTTTCTATACTATGTTCAATTTGTTCCCAAGTTGCTTTGAACTTGCTTTGGTTTAGTTAAAACAAAAAATATAGAAGATGAACTATATTTTCCCCCACTTAATACAAAGTAGCGCGCGCGCGCGTGTGTGTGTGTGTGTGTGTGTGTGTTTGTGTGTGTTGCATATTTTAAACCCTTGGGTGGTCTCTGGTTGTGTTGTTAGGGTTGTTGGTTTTACCCTTTAGTTTCCTAAATGTATTTGTAATATGAAATATTTAACATCCTTTCTAAAGCATCATTTATATGTTAACAGACTTTTGTGCAATTTTTTTCATAGTTTTGAATGGAAGGAAAATCAGTAGGGATTAAGCAATATAAGCTGGCTTTTGAAGTTATGTTTAAATTAGTATCTAAAGGAAAATTGTGTGTTTCAGAAATAACAATAAATGTGTTTTTAAAAAGGTGTCAGAAGAAGCCCCAGTCATATTCTCCAAGGAGATGGTTGACAGACAGATGGGATGAAATGGAATAGTTTGGCTTGGTGAACCTGTGTCCTATCAAATGGTTAGGTTGAACCAATTCGTGTTTTTTAAGAGAATTGCTATGAAATCACTACATCTGATGCTTTGAGATGGCAGAGAAGTTTTTGGAGTGTGTGCTCATGTGTGCCCATGTGTGTGTGTACGTGTGTGTGTGTGTTTTGGCAAGGGATGATAATCATGGGGAAGAGAAGTCTGTATTTATTGTCATGTCTTCTTGCCACTGCTGGATGGTAAACTCTTTGGGGGCAGGAAGAGCATCCTTCCTCATGTGGAGTCAGTACTCAAGATTGTTAAATGAAAGAACTGAGAGAGATTTAAAAAAACTTTTCTTTCTAGGTGGAAAGAAAATATTTCTTAGAAAAAGATAAATTTCATCTAAAGGTTTGTTGAGATACCAGGCTTAGGTCTCATTTATTTTATAAACAACTGAAAATTTTTTGAGACAATCGGATCATCTTTATGGCCGTTCTCTCAGTAAGGAAGCTGTCTTGGGTCAGTTAGAATTCCTGTCTTTACCTCCTCACCGGCCATTTTTTCTTTGATCGTAGATGCTGATTTTTAGGTGAGCATCCTCTGAAGAAATGCTGTTGTCTCTATTGTGTTTGGAAATGAGGGTGATGGATATGTATAAGTTTTGGGGACCCCTCTTTTCTCAGTCAACTGGAAAGATTCATATTTTTACATAGTATATACATTGCAAATAAAAATTGTTTCCCTTCACCTCCTGTAAACCTCCAGGTAATCAGGTATGCTGTGTTTTCTCAAATTACTAGTTACCAAAAGACCTAATAATAAAACTATAGCTTTGGTCAGTATTATTGACTTATCTGTATTAAATCAATTATGTGTGTAACTATGGTTGACATTCACGTGTCTGGTATAGTTTGAAAAATTATGTGAGCTTTCAAAGTTTGTGACTTGAAAGTGTTTTGAAAGGAATATGTGCTTTGAAAGGGAATATGAACTATTTTTGATAAGACTTTATAATCTAGAGATTTTGGACCTGTTAAAAATGCTGATATAAAACCAGATGGTAATACATCTTGAATGTTTCAGCGAGAGCCCTAGTTTGGTTTTAAAATTGGTTCTGTTTATAATTGGTAGACAGCATGGAAAATGGCAATCCTGTTATGAACAAACCTTTAAAAAAAGTCTGTTTTAATAATAAGGCTAGAAAGAGAACAGAAGTTCTGTTTCAAAACTTAGGGTTTTGACATCGTCGATGTCTTTGTTAGAATGATTTAGGAAAATGCACTCTGACTCTTTTTTGAGGCTTGAATGAGTGCAAGTTAATTTTTAGGCACTCAATACATGTTCTGTGAGAATGAAGATATATTTGACATTCTCAGGGGAAAACCTTTCCTAAGATACACAGCTCCATTAAAAAAAAAGTACTTCAAACCAAAATCTTCTCAGAAAAAGCTCACTCAAAAATTTAGTGAGTTAATAGATTTAAGAATTTAGAAAAATTCCAAAAGGGGTGATTTTCTCTTTGTATGTGGGGGTTTTTAAATAATATATTTGATTTTAGTGTAAACTCTTGTTCCTTAAAAATCGTAGAATATGTATACTTATTCTTTTTATTTTTAAATTGTGAGGCCAAGAGTTGGAGATGGATAAAATGAAATTACATGACTTTTCTAGAAACTCAGCAACACACGTCTGGGAACTTTCTTAGGTATTCTCTCAACTGACACATTGTGAGGTAGAAAAGGCATAAGATCCTCCCGTGGCTTTCTGGTGCCCTGAGAGTAACATCTAAACAGTTACAATGGCCTAAAAGGTCTAGCCTGACCTGATCTATGGCCCCTTGCTCAGACACCCCAACTTCTCCTCAGGACTGGAGCGTGTATCCATCCATTGGCTACACTGGTCTTCTCATGGATCTCCATGTGGCCAGCTCCTCAAAGAGTCCTCACCAACCACATGGACTCATCCCCCCAGAGTAGTTTTATCCATCACATTGTGTATTTTCCTCATCAGTTTTTTCCTTTGTGCCCCCACCTCCATTGGATAATGGGGTACATGAGGCCCCGGCCTCTTGTGCCCGTGTCGCTAAGACTCTACCCTTGAAATACTTCTGTGAACCAAAGACTTAAACATGCAGCTTACATTCTGCTTGTAGAACGATCCTTTGTGTAGTTTGCTGGTCTTGTATTTATTTTTATTGATAAAAGCAGTATATGCACGTTATAAAAATTCGTGAGACCAAAGGTACCTAGTGCACATCTCTCTCCCTTCCTAAACTCTCTCTCTCCCAGTTCCTGCTCTCCATGTGTTGCCAGTGTCTTGTCTCTTCTTCTAGACATTTTCTGTGTATGTAGAAGTCCAGGTGTGGTGCCTGTAAACACCTTCCGGTTGCTACTTATGTTAGATGTGGTGTCTTATCCTTGCCGGTCTTTCAAATAACACGGGCCTCTTCACCAGCTACTGTTTTCACAGTTTTGTATGAAGTGGATTTGATGTGGAGAATCTTCAGGAACAATCTCCCAACCACCGTCTGCCTGCTGCTGCTGAACCAGTGACCCCATGAGGGGGAAGTGGGCAGGAAGTTTGTGAGCCACATCCTGGGGGTGTTCGGTGGGATAACTTGCTCCCTGTAAGTGTGCTGGGTGAATGATAACTACAGATGCTGCTTCGCTTCGGCAAGGTGCAAACCAGGAGGGAGGAATAGGCTGAAATGTGGTTCGGGAACCTCACCTTGACAACGGTCCCTGACTCTTGG